CCCCAAAACCCCAAAACCCCAAAACCCCAAAACCCCGATTAATGGGGGTAAGATAGAAAAGTTAGAGAATAGACGGAAATTAATATTAATTTATGTAATATTTTGTTCCTCGTCTTTTTATTGATGAATTACTTAAATTCTGTAGCTAGAAAGTCTTAAGTAAGCATTATAACTAGATAAACCGCTATACCCTCTAAACCGCCCAAAATCCCAACCATAAAGCCTCATCCCCAACTGTTTCCCTCTAAAACCCCTTCAACCCCCATTCTCTCTCCATTTTCCCTCAATCCTCCTTCCCAGCCACTTCTTCCAACAACTTCTTCCACAAAACCTCTAATTTTGTACACAAGATGTATTTTCGAACTTAAAAATTTATACGTGAACTTCTGGTACTCTCACATAGAGATCTAGAACAGGAATATGACCAGAGCTTGTTTAAAGAAGCTAAATATGTTTAGGCACTCTAGTCCCTATGGTGGCTAGCCTAGAGCAAGAGAGAAAGATGTGGCCTATGTTAGGGGCCTATGTTAGGGGGCTTATCTTTAAGACAAACTTTAGAACTGGAGGATTGTACAAATAAGTTTGGAGATAGATCAAATTTTAATTTTCATGAATTGTTGTTTTGAAGCGAAAAGAATTCGTCAATCAGGATATTGAAAATTGACCATTTGGATGTAAGAAATGGCACAGAGAAATTAGTGCATGAAGCTTGCTTGATACTTTAAGCTTTAGCTAAGCAAGCATTAAACTTATTTCAATCTGAGATATTTTGTTCTTAGAAACTTGCACAATTATTCCAGAATTTTCTCCAATCTATTGCATGATAATCATAGCTTTAAATCCCTCTATGTCTAAATGGATATATGCTACTCCTTATTCGTGATTATTCAACTAAAGTTTTGTGATCATTTGAGGCAAATACTCCTACAAAATTGATCAACAAGTTTTCTTTCTTTTTGAAGCAAGGCACTCCAAAATCCTTGATATATACTTAAAGTCTATATAACTTAAAAGTTAAAATCTAAATAAAAAGCGATCTTGGAATTTATTTGTTGATGCTTTAAAAGGTCTGTGAATTAGCTATAAATTTAAAGCTATTCAGTACATATTTTGACCCACACTAATAAGATGTCTCAAGAGAAAAGGCGACTTGGTCTCTACAGGAAGCAGTGATCTAGGTATGGTCATATTTGACCCATAACTATTGTTTATAGACACAACATCTGCCTAACCTTCAAGGGTGAATACTAATATGTTAAAGATTTTTATTCAGACCTGATTGCTAATTTAAGAATTTGGTTAAAGCTCAGAAAAGATTTGTAACTAATCCATTGTCAAACTTTTTGGTTGACAGTATAACTTAGGAACTAATAATAGGAACAAACCATAAAGCATCCTTCGTCAAAAATATTAGAGTGTCAAAATTTAGTTAATCGTTTTTATACTGCTTGTAGTATGGCGCTTTATGCTCACTCGCTGAGGAGGATACTGACTGATTTATCTTCATTTCATCATCATTTTTCTCAAGCATAGAGTCATTTAGTGTGTCATCTAATTGAACAGTCGCAACAATTGTACCGAAGGAGCCTTTTCCTTCTCTAGTTTTCTTAGGGCTTGCTGGATCTGAAGTACTTCTTTCGTTACTTTTACTACGCCTTTTGTTGTGAATTTTAACAGCAATACAGGATATTATAACTGCAACTGCTATAGAAAGCATTGTTCCAAAGACAATACTAAGGATGACTATCAACGTCATTCTGGTCTCTTCTGAAAGCACAGGATAAATAGTAATGGCAAAGTTATTAGCACTCATTTCAGGTAATAATATCAAGAAAAGATCTTCTTGTTTTGGAACTTTGACTTCTAATTCTGTATTGTCTTCTCAGGTGTAAGATCCTTTATATTCAAAGTCATAAGGCCCTTCTTCTAAGAGAAACAGCTGCATTTTCATCGAGTTGATTTGTCAAGAGGTGAGGTTAAATTTGAAAATTTCTGGGCCAATATTCCTGACTCTAAATATACATGCTTTACCTTGCGGAATATCTGTTAAGTCAAGAGATACATTTTCACCTTCATTTAGCTCGAATACTCCTTGGCCACACTCATCAGCATTAGGACAGAGGAGAAGATTCTTGCCAATTCCTCCAGTGGTGTTAAACTCATCTGCGCATATTCCAGAATGTGCTCCTCATCTAGTGTCAAAGACATCATGATTTCATCAGTAGATATCTCTATGATGATCAGAATCGGAACAGATCCTTTGGTCATTGAATGCACATGCGACTCATTGTTCATTAGACTCTATTTTAGTTATCTGTCCTAATGCCTGATGTACTAGTCCAAGGATCAGCACTATTGCAAGACTTTTCCAATACATAGTAATTTATAAAGAATTATATTAAATTTGGATAAGGGGTTTTGGGGTTTTGGGGTTTTGGGG